TCGGGCCCACATCTCAAAGCCACATTGGACCGAAATCTGTATAAGGAGGATTCGTAGCAGGTAGGGCACCTTTACTTGCTTGGAGCTCTTCTTGCAACTGTACGTCCGACTCGGTTGTTCGGGTAAGGTTGAGTTTTCGAGACTCTTGAAGCTCGGGCCGATTCGTATGCAGGGTTTAAGATGGCTGGGACCACAGCTGTGTTGGTAGTAATAAGGTTACAGGTGAGTTACAACCTTTTCAGTAGAACTATATGGGATTTACACGCATGAAATTGCATACTTTGACTGCTGCCGGTCGATCCATTCACCACTGGGTTCACGGCAATAGGAAATGCCATGGAATGTGATGCTTGGGCTGATTCGTATGCAGGGTTCAAGACCACAGGGACCACAGCTGTGGTGAGGTATTAGACAGTAGTAATAAAGTTATAGGTGAGTTTTAACGTTTGAAGTAGAACGATATGGGATTTACACGCATGAAATTACATACTTTGACTGCTGCCTGTCAATCCATTCACCACTGGGTTCACGCCAATAGGAAATGCCATGGACTGGCCGAGTGGGCTGGGGACAGTAGGTGTGGTAATTGGATTGGAGTATAACGCTCTGGCCCTTTGGATTGCCTCTTGCTGTTTAGATTGGAGAACCTCTTGAGCCGAGGTCAATTGGCCAGTTGGAGGTCTGATTTTTGGAGGAGGTGCTGAGTTTGGAATCATTTTGTCAACACAGTCGTTGCATAATCCACGGAATACCACGGGAGATTTTCCACACTGGAAACAGAACATCTTTTTTTCTATGCAAGTTACGTTAGTTGTGTTTGGCTATTAAGGGTGCATAAGTATGGGATTCTGCTGCTTACTCTTGATCTAGAAATGGAAAGGACTGGGTCGTCTTGATGTTGTGAGGACAGGACTGGATCGTCTGGAAGCTGTAAGGGAAGGGCTGGATCGTTGTCTGGATGTGACTTATGCAAGGCTTGTTTTGTCCTTATGTGTAACGAGTAACAGGTAACACTATGGAACAAACAGAATCTATGTGTTTACATTTCTGATACAGGTGGGGAATGTGGCTTCTGTAGTGCACCATGCCCTGTATGATTTTCAGGCTGTATTTGACATTTTCCAAAATTGATGGCTAATTTGGCGGTTCAGTGCCATGCATGGCGGCTCAGGGGCAATGATGGCGGCTCAGGAGCATGGGTGGCCAATTTGGCGGTTGGATTCAATTTTTGATTTGCCATTCTGGCGGTTCAGGGGCGTCATTTGGCGGTTGTTTGGCCAAATTGGCGGTTCATCCCCATGTTTTCATTTTTTTTGGCCAAAATGGCTGTTCAGTACCTCCATATAAATAAGCCCTTTTAATGATTCTGGAGAATTTTTGAACATTTCCACTGTTTTTAAATTGAAAGGTTGAAAAGTTCAGATACAATTTTCAGTGTATGCAATTTTATTCATTATGAGGAATAAAACTGACCAATTGAATCATCAACAGTTCTCATCTCAACTTTTTCCAAAGATTTGGATTTGACTACATTCAAACTGGTGCCTGATCCTTCAATTTTTTCCTTCACTGAAAAAAGCAATGGGTGATGAATTTTCAGTATTCATGATTTGAAAAAAGGTCCTGAATCTTCCCATTCAAACTCAGGTCTATGACATACAGTTTTCATTTGTGACCTTTTTGATCCAAACAAAGTTTTCTTTCACAGAGTCCAAAAACAAGATCCTTTGTTGGTCATCCAATCCTTTTACCCTTAATGTTTTCAGGATTCCTTGAAGAAAACCTTCTGATATATCCTCCACAGGTTTGGTTAATATGTTCTCTTCTTTCCCTAAAAGATTTTCAGATATCATGTTCAGCTTATGAATTATACTTCTAATCTGCTATTTTAAAAAAAGGAAAATGTCCACACACCAACTAAATTCCCCTCTGTTTTATTTGGTCTCCAAATAAATCTCCAGATTTTTGTTAAAAAACCCTCTATTGAAAATATGTTTGAGATATAAAACATTTGACATATTGGCATTTTTTCTCAATTGTAACAAAAATGCATGATTCAAACTGATACTAATCACCATTGAAAGCCTCAGGCAATTTTGGATTTTCTATTTGAGATAGTTTGAGGGGCTTGGGTGGCACTAATTCAGCACCCTTGTTTGCAAGTGTGATTTTTTGATTCACTAAAAAAATTAAATCATCAACTTTCAGAATTCAGAAGGAAAAAAAATCTGAATCTGTCATTCAAAAGAAATTTCAGAGAAGGTTTGACATACCTCCTGCTTCTCTAGCATTTTTTGCAGCTGAAATATGATGATTGTCAAATTTGAATGGTCAAAAAATTTTCTCCATTCCAATTTTCTATCTGGAAAATCAGATAACAAAAATCTACACACCAAATACATTTCCTTCTGCTTTCCTTGCTCCAGAACCCAAATCCAATACTTCAAATTCAACTCCTCTCTTAAATAGAGTATTAGAAGTTGAGAGTGGGTGGGCAGAAAGACCATAGTAACATAATAGCTGTAAGGAAACTAGGATCTTTGTTAAAAGCATGTCTATGAATGATGTGCCTGTTCTGTTTTTTAGTAGCAACTCAGGAAAGTGATGATGATGATGTGAGTGGTGGTTGTGGTTGTGGTAAGAATGATGAAAATGGGATGGTCAGAACATTTGAAGTATAGAAACAGGTGGGTTTTTATAATCCAACCTGCACCCCTCTCCTTGGTGAGCAAACCCTTGTTTTGGTGGTTGCTCTCTTGCGGAGTGTGCGGGCCAAGTTTTAGTTGTTGATAAAACAATGGTACCTAGTTGTGTCAACGACTAATGAGCCTTGAAACAAGATATCTTGGCCCTGCCTTGATATAGGTTTGACTATGACCTCGCATGCCAAGTGTTTTATGGGCGGCGATAGGACCGCTAGGGGATGTCGCCAATGTCCAAGCACGCGAGTGCCTGGAAGTAACCTGGACTAGATGGCCAGCTCAAGGCCCCGCTACACTCAGATCCCCCAAGAGGTCCGCGACCAGAGTGTCTCTCCGCCTTAAGCTCCATCGGCCATCCTTGTTCCCCAGCTCCTCTTCCATCTCCCTCCACTCATCGTTCAGGAGCCGTCACTCAGCTCAGTTTCCAGCCGCTCTGTTGTCTCCTTTCGCGGGGAAACAGTTTTTTCGTACTTTATCATCACTTCGACACTCAGTTAACTCATATCGACATCTTCAAAGAATTTCATCCGACGATTTGGACAACTTCAACAACCCAATTCCTCCACGAGTCCGACACAACTTCAACCCCCAGAAAACCCATTTCATCCAAAACCAGAACGCTCGCCAACATGGTAGACGAGATCTCGAAACGAGCAACCCGAAGCGCTCAGCAAAAAGGTTCCAAAACCACAGCAATAGAAGAGAGCTTGAGTAGTTAGTTTCTTCTTCGAGACTGTCTTTCACACGCACCTAAGTTGTTGGTCGCAGTAACCAACATGCCAATGGCTTTTCTGTACCTAGGTCAACTTAACACATCGACACATGCGACGGGTGTACCTCCGCAAAACATTACCACCGCAACGGGTAACGACAGAACCCAACAGATGCCGAATACTGGACCAGAGAACGACGCGTTAGAATTGGACAGCAAAAGCGAAGAAAGCGACACTTTCAAAGGTAAGACCATGTCAACTCTAAGTCGATGAGTTGTACATCGAACATTTATTGAAACACGAGTTGTGTGATTTCTTTCCTATGGCATAGATTTACCAGATAACAATCCTAAGGAAGGAGCTGGTAACATCACGAGGTACAAAGAAATACTTTCAAACGTACCGACCATCATAACAACCGATGATCTATTGGTATCTCACCAGAACCCAACCTTAAATCAAGATACACCGCCGTTGGCAGACCCAGACAACCCTACGCCGATCCGCAAGTCCGACAAATCTACCCTGTGGGATAAGATTGCGGAGGCCGTAGCAGCGAACGACAAAGTCAACGCAGACTTCTTCATAAGGCTCTATTCACAAATCAACGATACCTCGAACGCTTTGAAACCAGACATCCTACGTTCTCGCTCAAACGATGCCGTGAACCCCCAAATCGTCTCATCCACCTCGAAGAAAGCACCTGAAAAAACTTCCATCATTTTTGTCAGAGGGTCCCTCCCAAAACACTTCGACATCGGGTTTACCCCGTTCTTCGACAAGAACATAAAAGAATTACGAGGTCCGATCCCCCTGACCATCTTTGACAAGAAATGGCAAGAAGAAGCGATTCAATTCCACACCAACAAACGCTCAAAAGGTGATGAAAAAGAAGGGAATTACACGGGATACGAATACCCCAACGAATGGGGCGTTGATAAACACACGCCTCCCCCCTCCCCGCACGCCCACGCCCACGCCCCTCCAAAAGGGGTGTGCAATCGAACCCGCCCCTCAGGGGAGGGCGGGTTTGCTTGCACGCCCCTCGGGATCCTGTTTTTCGAGGGAAAACCGCTTCCGA